GTGTACAATTAATATATGCTAGTAAAGAACTTTAAAGAAGAAGCCGAGCCAGGGGTCTAAGGACATAGCTTAGTGGTAGAGTGCTTGTGTAACATGCACAAGATCTTGAGTTCAATCCCTAGTATTGGAAAGAAAACACTGGGGCTGGGAATGTTGCTCAGTCGTGTTGCTCCGCAAGGCCCTGGGTTTAGGAGACAGACAGACAGACAGACAGACAGACAGACGAGATACAGAAAGGCAGAGAATTGGCCATAGTTCCAGAAGGCAAGATTCAAGTGTCTACAGAGGTTGGTGGGGGCAGCATGAACCCAGGGGAATAGCCAATAAAGAAAGGCAGGATCAACTACCTTACGACACCTGCTGTGTTTTCTTGGCTTGTTTATCTGGATGTGAAAAGACTGCGAACCAAAGGAAGATTTTTATCTGAGACATTTCCACCTTGAAAGCAGGTAGAGCTGATCCAAGTTGACAGGTACTTTCCTCCCTTCGGTCGAGATTTTTTCCACGTGGACTACACCTGGCTGGTCCCTCCCTATAAGTCAGAAACTCATCTTCTAGATACTTTCTGGAGAGTGAGTCCATGTCAGGCGAGATGGAAATAAAGTATTACCTTTATTATTTTCTTTCCATTCTTTGAGACAGGGTTTCCTGTAGCCCAGGCTGGCCTCACCTTTGAAGTTGAAGATGACCTTCGCTTCCTGACATTCCTGATTGTTCCTTCCAAGCGCTGACGTGACGGGTGCCCAGCAATCCCTACCTTTATAAGGTGAACGCATCATCGGGTCACACCAAACTTCCCATACGAAAGTAAATCAAGAACGTGCCTGATTTAATAAGAGTGAATAATACATGGATTTAGTATACCTTTGCTATGGATACCGTGGCACACACGTGTGGTGACTGATACATAGGGCTCATTTGGCTATGAGAATCTGAAAACAGCTTGAGCAACACAGCAAGACCCTGTCTCAATAAAAATTGAATAAATAAGATATAACCTTGGATGAGTAATTGATTAGACATTAATACAAAAGCTTCTTCAATTTTGCCCATACTGCAGCTGGGGATGCAGCTCAATTCGCAGAGTGCTTGCAGAGTTCACACAAAGCTCTGGGTTTGATCCCCAGCACTGCACACCTGGGCATGGTGATGCAGGCTTATAATCTCAGTATATCCCTGTTGCTTTAGCACTTTGGAGGTGGAAGAAAGAGGATCAGAAGTTCGAGGTCATCCTTGACTGCATACTGAGTGCAAGGTCAACCTGGGCTACTTGAGACTTCAGCTCAAAACAGCAAAACATATGTGTATGTGTGTATGCATGTATATGCACACACAATATATACTTGCATATTTATGCATACACATATTGCTTTGCAAGCACCAGCTGGGCAGAGACACACCCAAGAGAGTGCTCCTGTCCTTCATTCCTTTTTTAAAAATTTATTTATTTATTCATTATGGATACAATATTCTGTCTGTGTGTATGTATGCAGGCCAGAAGAGGGCACCAGACCTCATTACAGATGGTTGTGAGCCACCATGTGGTTGCCGGGAATTGAACTCAGGACCTTTGGAAGAGCAGGCAATGTTCTTAACCAGAGCCATCTCTCCAGCCCCCTTCATTCCTTTTTGTTCCGTTCTCACTCACACTTAGAAATTAGTTCTCAGTCCCTTATCCAGAATCTGAGCTGTAATTTTGTGATGGGGGGATCCCCTCTGTATGCTGGGAATACCACTGGTTAATAAAGAAGCTGCTTTTGGCCAGTGGCTTAACAGAATATAGGCAGGATAGAGAAGATATATAGAGAGAGTAGGCAGAGTCAGGGAGAAGCCATGTAGCCACCACAGGAGACAGATGCCTCTGCTGGAGCCTGTTGAAACTTTGCCTGTAAGCCACAACCTTGTGGTGATGCACAGATTAATGGAGATGGTTAGTTTAGGATATAAGCGTTAGGTATAGCTGGGTGGTGGTGGCGCATGCCTTTCATCCCAGCACTCGGGAGGCAGAGGCAGGTGGGTCTCTGTGAGTTCGAGGCCAACCTGGTCTACAAGAGCTAGTTCCAGGACAGACACCAAAAATTACAGAGAAACCCTGTCTCGAAAATAAAATAAAACAAAGAACTAGCTATAAAATATGCTTAAGCTATTGGCCAAACAATATTGCAAATATTATAGTCTCTGTGTGATTATTTTAGGTCTGAGCAACCAGGAACGAACGAACACCTCTGCCAGCAACTTTGTTCATTTGATACAGGCTCTCACTATGTAGTCTAAGCTATCCTGGAACTGACTATGTAGACCAGGCTGGTCTCAGACTTACACAGATGCTCCTGCCTCTGCTTCCCAAGTGCTGGGGTCAAAGGCGTGCTTCACCATGCTCAGTTGTGTAACTTTGTTGTTGTTGTTGTTTTTCAAGACAGGGTTTTTTGGTAGCTTTGGAGCCTGTTCTGGAACTTGTTCCGTAGACCAGGCTGGCCTCGAACTCAGAGAAATCTGCCTGTCTCTGCTTCCCAAGTGCTGGGACTAAAGGCACGCGCCACCATCCCTGGCTAGTTTTGTAACTTTTTAAACATTTAAACACTTCATTGACTTTTACAGAAGAAAAGCATAATTATTATAGAAAAATACATATAAAAGAAAATACTATATTGTATTATGCTATATGTAATCTATATCACTTGGAACAACGATGTAGGAAACAAAGTGTACTATGTCTTTCATGAGAACATGCCAAAAGCACGCTTCAGAGAGATCCGAGACAGGCACTTTCCATGCCATTGATGGGCAGACACTAGTTACTCTAGAAGGCAATTCTGAGATCCTCTGTGAATCCTTACGATACCCACTATCTTTGGAAAGACACTAGCTACTCTAGAAGGCAATTCTGAGATCCTCTGTGAAGCCTTACAATACCCACTATCTTTGGGTATGATCTATTTACACCTTGAAATGTGTTCTACGAAAATAACAAGTATAGGCACTGCCTTAAAGACTAAAGTGATGCGAATAAGCATCCAACAATAGAACTATGATTCCATGACACACAAAGGTGCAACACAACCATCTAATAAAACTGCCAATGCTTTCAATAATACAGGGAACTGCTTAAAACACCCAAAATAGGCAGATATAGCCTCAATATCTAAGATTAGATGTATGAGAAAAGCTAAAAATATTTAACAAATTAGCAATGATTACCTCTCTCTCCCTCTCTTTCTATCACATGCTACCTATGAGTATATATATATATATAGATATATAGATATATAGATAGATATATAGATATGGAGGTCAGAGGGCAACTTGTAGAAGTCAGTTCTCGCCTTCCATCATGTGGGTTCTGGGAATCACTCAGGCTTGGTGGTTAAGTGGCCTTCCCCACTGAACCATCTCACCAGCCAGCATACTTGTCTTTATACCCTAAATAATTATGGTTAATTATTACTTCCTTTTTTAAATTTAATTTTTTATGTGTATTGTTTTTTGCCATGAGTGTTAGGTCCCCTGGAACTGGAATTGCAGACAGTCATGAGCTGTCCTGCGGGTGCTGGGAATTGAACCCAGGACCTCTGGAAGAGCAGTCAGTGCTCTTAACCACCGAGCCATCTCTCCAGCCCAATTATGACTTTCTTAACTCATCTGCATTGCATCAGTTAGCGTCCCATCCTGCGGCAGACGAGGAAATCAGCTGGAAGGAGGAAAGCTTTCTTTTAGCTCACAGTCAAAGGTTTCAGCCCACGGTCACCTGGCTCTGCCGTTTCTGGACCTGTGGTGAGGCGGAACATCGTGGGAGCATATGGTGGCACAAAGCTGCTCTGTTCATGGCAGCCAAGAAACTGAGAGGAAAGAGATGAAGGAAGAAGGAACATAATAGGCCCTTGAAGGGTCTGCTCTCCATCTATGGCCCAGGTCTCAGTTTCCATGTCTCCCAATAGCCCAGTATGCTTTGAACCCATAAACATGTGAATACATGTATGAGGCCAGAGTCCTCGGCATCTAATCCACTTCCAAAGGCCACACCTTTGAACACTGGAGATGGCTCAGTGATCAGGAACATTTGCTGCTCTTGTGCAGAACCTGAGGTGGTTCCCAGCATCCACACAGTGGCTCACAACCATCTGTAACTCCAGCTCCAGGGAATCCAGTGCCCTCTTCTTGCCTCTGTGGCTATCTGCATGCATGTGATACACATAAACTCATGAAAGTGCGCATACACATATAATAAAAATAATTTTTTTTTTTTTTGTTTTTCAAGACAGAGTTTCTCTGTGTCACAGCTCTGGCTGTCCTGGAACTTGCTTTGTAGACCAGGTTGGCCTTAAATTCACACAGATCCACCTGCCTCTGCCTCCCAAGTGCCGGAATTAAAGGCTTAAGCCAAGCTAAAAATAAATAAATTTTAAAATGAAAACGAAGCTGGGAGTGATGGCTTACACCTTTAACCCCAGCACCTGGGAATTTGAGGCAGGAGGATCAGGAGCCCCAGGTCACCTTTTATACAGGGTGAAACCCTGAATAAAAAAGTCAAATTAATAAATCATGAACCAATTAACAGAAGCTGTAAAGTTACGTAAAATAAAATTTATACTTTGACCAGATACCAATAAAATTAAAAAGAAAATCACTATATATGCCATAAAATATAAATGATTTTTATTTATGAATGAACTGATGGGTAGCAAAGAGAAAAAAATGACATTAGAAGAATATATGCCACAACCAGGCAAAGCTTACAACAAGAATTTAAGGATGTTTTAATATCCTAAAAACATTTAATGCGATCAATCATGCAAGTGATTAAAATAATATTCCATTAAGAGATTGATTCATTTTATCAAGCTTTCGGCTTCCAACAAATAAGAATAGAGTATTTCTCTTCTCCTAATAAGGAATTTAAAACTAACAACCATTTGTTGTTTGTTTTTTTGAGACAGGATTTCTAGTGGCCGGGCAGGCCTCAGCCCACTGTGCTACAAAAGCTGGCACTGAACTCTTCCCCCCCCCCCCCCCCGCTTCCCCCCAAGACAGGGTTTCTCCATAGAACAACAGTTCTGGCTGTCCTAGAACTCACTTTGCAGACCATGCTGGCTTCGAACTCAGAGATCCACCTGCCTTAGCCTCCGGAGTGCTGGGATTAGAGGCATGCGCCACCACCTTCTGGTGGCATTGTTTCTCTTACCTCCAGCCGTGTGCTGTGGAACTAATTTGAAAAGTAAAGCCCAAGGAAATACTCATTTGTTTCTGAGACTTGTAGAAGTGAAAAACACCCCAAGACTAGGCAGTGAGTGCGCACTACCTGGCCAGCCATCACCACTTGAATAAACCGACCCCAAATTAGCTCCCCAGCAGAAGAGACTCTGGAACAGCCCAACCTCCCTTTCTAAGAAGCTTTGTCTCAGTACCACCTCTTAACCTCACTCGCCTGTCATGGGGGTGGCAGCCAGACTTGGTCCAGTAACAGCTACAGACCATTTTAGTGCTGAGGATACAGCTCAGTGGTGAGCACTTGTCTAGCACACATGAGCACACTCCCAGTATCACACACACATACAAGAAGACAATTCTGTAGACTAAATGCCAAGAGAACATTAAAATGGAATATTAGAGACTTCAATAACATATTGCAACAATGACTACAGACCAATAAGCATTCTCTGTAAGAGCACAATGGTGGTGGATGCAAAAACAACGATGTAAAAGTCTACCACCTCTATTGATGTAAAGGATATGCACTGAGCATTCCTCTGAGGACTTAGGGTGGCTTACAGCAAATATATACAAGAGAATGACAAAGTATAAGTACTACTAATAATAAATAAATAATAAATTGTTTCTTTTTGAGACAGGGTCTCCCTATGTATCTCTGGCTAGCCTGGAACTCACTATGTAGATCAGGGTAGCCTTGAGCTTACAGAGACTTGCCTGCCTCTATTCCTGTAGTGCTGGGATTAAAGGCATATACAACCTTGACTGGCCTAAATTTCTTTCAAAGTTTAGTCCCAGGACTTAGATGTATCTTGCTGGTCAAGGACTTTGCCTCACATAGACAAGACCCTGGGTTTGATCCCAGCACACAGGCACAACAAATACCATTAGGAAAGAAGTCACAACTAGAAATTTAAAAAAGAAAGACTGTAAAACACAATTTCAGAAATACTGTTGTTGACAACCATAGTGCAAAGACCTACGTTGTTGAGTTTACTGCCCATTAAGAGGAAACTGATTTTTTCATTTGGAAAGGACATTTTTACATCCCTCCTCTCATGATAAAAGTTTCTCTAAACAAGGTAAGTTCGGCGTTATGAAAACTTACTGAATTGCCCCTATTTTTCAAAGGTCATATTATGGAAAGAAACACAAACCTTCTCTTTATACACCGACATTGGGGAACATGAATATCTACAAGTCACAAGATGAGAACAGTGGAGACAGACGGGCTGGAGGAAGGAAGGAATGACCTTAGAATAGACAAAGTGTGTGTGTGTGTGTGTGTGTGTGTGTGTGTGTGTGTGTGTGATGACCTGTCCCTATCCACAAAAGTGACAGATACAACTGGAGGAAGGAGTGAACTGAACTACACATCCTTCAAGGTATAGCAGCTGAGCTCTGGTCGGCTCAGTAAGAGATGAGAATTGGCTGGGGTGAGGTAGAAACTCTGGTGAGAGACCAAAGAGTATTAACTGTGATACTGACTGGGGATGGACCCATAAAGTTGAATATTATGGACACAGTGTGGATGATAGCCCAGAGGGCCCCAGCAACAAATGCAACATATAGAAAATTCACGAAATCAAGACATACAAAAAGAAGGGGCAGAAGAGCCCACTCATCTGCACAGATAGTTAAAGAAATGTGCATCAAAGGATAGCATTGTTTTGCACCTACAAGCCAAGCAAAGGTATGAAATGGCTCTTAAACTCCATACAAAACAAGACACAAATACATCTGATACAAAATGAAATATTCAAACGTTATGAGTATTGAAATACACCAGAATAAGGGAGGCAATTCAACTATGTAAACAATTCTGTGCAAAAGGGATTATGTACAAACCCAAGTAGTAAGACGCAGAGTATACAGACTCTGTGGTGTCTACCATGCAAGCGTGTGAAGGGAGTCTAGGAAATGTCCGTGGGAACCTGCCCTCCATGCCGGGGCTGGAAAGGCACTCGAGAACTGCAGACAGAGGTCACAGCTTCAGGATTTGCCCTGGACTGATCCCCACTGTGCTCAGAATTTTACCCTCTCTTTGCCCGCTCCAGGGCCAACCTCACCCACAAGTGCAGTTTCCTTTCCACCCTGGAAAGGCATTAAGTTACCAATGCTATTAAGTCAGGAAAGAGAGAACAGCTACAAACTCCAGCTCAGCAGAAATCTTGCTTCTGATCCTCCAAGATGGACAAGCTGCTTCTCATATCCTCTGTACTCTTTAAGGTTTACTGGGGCTTCCTGGGCGATTGAGCAGGGACAGGCCTGGCTTCTGCAGCCCCAGCCCCAGGAGCCCCTTGCTTCTCGATGCCTTGTGAGTGCCCAGCAGAGGTCTCGCTGTCTGAAAGGAAGAAGAGAGATGAGCTTTCTGTTATGGGGTAGACTGGATCAAAAACAATAAATAAATAAAAATAAGCAGTCAGAAAGACAAAGCGGCAGATACTTCTGATATTAAATTTAGTGGAAAAAGATGGTAAGCTAATGCCATTTTGTCCACACCCAGATCAGACTTGTGCTTAGAGTTACAACAAAGTGGCTCCCCAAGCAACTTTGCAGTGGTTTGAATAAGAATGGCCCCCCCTAGGCTCCTGTATTTGACTACTTACTTAGCAGGGAGTGGAACTCTTTGATAAGATTAGAAGGATTAGGATGTGTGGCCTTGTTGGAGGAAATGTGTCACTAGGGGTGGGCTTTGTTTGAGGCATCAAAAGCACATGCCAGGCCCACCCAGTCTCTCTCTTTCTCTCAGTCTCTGTTTCCCTTTCTCTCTCCCTCCCTCTCTCTTTCTCTCTCTCTTCATGTCTCTGTCTCTTTCTCCCTCTCTCTCTCTCTTTCTCTTTATGTCTCTCTCTCTCTCCCTGTGGATCAGGATATAGCTCTCAACTACTTCTCCAATACCATGCCAGCTGCGCCAGCCACTAAGCTCCCTGCAATGATAATGGACTAAGCCTCTGAAACTGTAAGCAAGACCCCAGTTAAATGCTTTCTTTTGTAAGAGTCACCTTGGTTACGGTGTCTCCTTGCAGCAATAGAACAGTGACTAAGACAGACTTAAAAACAATTATGTGCTTCTATTTTATGTGTAAGAGTGTTCTGCCTGCATGTATGTAAGTGCACCATGTGCATGTATGCAGAGACCGCAGAGATCAGAAGAGGGTGTCAGATTCAATACAACTGGAGTTAGGATGGCTGAGCCACCATGTGGGTGCTGGGAACCAAACCTGGGTCCTCTGCAAGAGCACCAAAGACTCTAAAAGGCCCAGCCACCTCTCTAGCCCTTTCTGAGATATGCAATTTTATTTCTAGTCTGTTGCCCATAACGTGGTCAAAATTACTTAAAAATGAAAATAGAAAAACTTTAGTTCAGGTTGACAATAGAGAATCATGTGTACATTATTCTTCCCCTGCTATCCCCCTCCCCTGTTCCCAGCTGAATTAAGACAATTCTACCGAATTCTTCACCCCCAATTGGCCCAGAAGTAACCATGTTCAAATACTTGGGCAAGTTTCAAACTTGGAAAATCTTCTTCGTTAGAATCACATTTCCATATCATAAAACGTTAACTGGGGCAGGAAAAAATGGTTCAGTAGTTAAAAGCACTTGCTGCTGTAATCAAGGACCTGAGTGTGCAGCACCTACTTCCAGGCCACTCATTGCTCCTCTCGCTACACAGTCCAGAACCTTAGCGCACCTCCCCGCTGATGGTTCTCTGCCTACCTTTATCTTCAAGCATCTTGTGCAGCTTCGCGTGTTTGTAGACAGAGATTATCTGGAAGTTCACGACACTTGAAGCATTCAGTTCCTGGTCCTCTAACAACTTCAGGGTGGCAGCGTGAATGAGTTGGTGGGACCGCTTGCAGGTCTTCAGTGTGCATTCGCCCCGGACAAAGTTTTTGCAGACGTGAAACTTGTTGCATTTATCCTTGAGGTTGCAGTAGCCATAAAGGACATCACCACCTTTGTTGTACAGCAGACAGACCTGAGGCAGGAATGAGGGTCATGTTTGAGATGTGAGTTTTCACTATTATCTTTACGCGAATGAACTAGAACTTCTTTAGCTACATTAAAAGTTTGATGGCATCTTTGGGGGAGGGACGCGTGTATGCCTGGGCGCATGTGGAGGCTAGAGGTCAACACTGGCTGTCTCTCTCTAATCACCCTCTTCTTTACTGAGACAGAGTCTCTCATGGAACTTGGGGCTCACTGATTTGGACAGGATGGCTGATCAGCCCCAGGTTCTCCTGTCCCCTCTGCCCCAGCATGATGACTGCAGGCTATCCCACCACACCTCAGCTCCCTAACACCCCTTTATACAAAAAGTCCGGACTGTGTGACTGGGGGCTTCACCCTACTTCCTGGCATAAGCTCCCTCCCCTGGGAGTTGCCTCAATCCAAACTCCACCTCGGAGAGAGCCCACCAAATGCTGAGCCCTTCCAAGGGAAGGTCAAGAAAGCCTATCAAACAGTAACCCCTCCCCAGGGAAGGCCAGGACCACTTCCACAGGCTATTTAAACTGCCCCCCCCCCCCGAGAATGAACATGTGGTCTCCAGATTTTGCAAGGTCTCTCCTTCCCTCTCTTTCCCTTTCCATGTTTTCCCCAGGGGCCACCTAGAAGTAAGGTCATTTATTAAACATGGGTGTCTTTTAGTTCAGTTTAATATGGTTTGATTGGAATTATTTGCATTGGTGGAGAGGTTTGGCATTTAAGAAAATACTTAACACTATTTTTTTTAAAAAAACTGTGTATATGTGTGAGTCTGTGTAGGAGTACACGCATGTGAGCACAGATACTCATAGAGGCCAAAGGCATAAGATTCTCTGGAGCCAAAGTTACAGGTAAACTGACCAGCTGGGTAGTGGTGATGCACACCTTTAATTTCAGCACTTGGGAGGCAGAGGCAGGAGGATCTCTGTGAGTTCAAGGTCAGCCTGGTCTACAAGAGCTAGTTCCAGGATGTCCAGGGCTGTTATACAGAGAAACCCTGTCTCAAAACAACAACAACAACAAAAAGAACAGGTAAACTGCCCAACACGGGTGTTGGTAGAGAGCTTGTCTAGAGTCCTGGGTTTGATCCCCAGCACTGCATGCTGGCCCATCCCTGCAATATTGTTAGGGAGCCAGGGGCAGGAGGATCAGAAGCGGCTCCAGACCTGGTTTTTATGTGGTGCTGGGGATTGAACTCGGGACTTTACCCATGCTAGGCAAGCACTTTAGATGCTGAGCTTTCTCTGGCCCTTGTGTTTTGGTTTGGTTTGTGCTGAGACAAGGTCTGTGGTTATCCCTTTGTCTTAGCTGAGTGCTAGGATTACAAGCGTAAGTCACCAAGCCTATCCCATTCTTGTTTTTTAGGGAACCTCCATACTAGGATGAACAATATTCATGCTAATTTATATTCCTGCCAACAACGTATGAGAGTTCGTAACATCCTTGCCACAATTTGCCTTTGTTTTATCTTGGTTTGGGTTTGTTTTTCGGTTTGCTTTGTTTTCAAGTCAGGAGCTTGCTATGTAGCACAGGCTGGCCCTCCATGCTCACACCTTCCGCCTCAGCCTCTGGAGAATTACAGGCTTACGCCATCACGCTCACCTACCTTTTAGCCTTCTTGCTTTTTTTGTGGAGGCAGCGGCAGATATTAAAGACGGTGTTTCTCTGGGTAGTCCTGGCTGTCCTGGAACTTGCTTTGTAGACCAGGCTGGCCTCGAGCTCAGAAACCCACCTGCCTCTGCCTACAAGGTACTGGTATTAAAGGCGCGTGCCATCACCATCCCAACAAATACATCAAATTTTTAAAGTTTATTAATAAACCCTACTTGAATGAGCTCTCCCTAAAATTCCTTTCTGCATTGACACCAGGGATCTGATTTCATCTAAGCCAAGGTCCCTCAAAGAATGTCTCAGGCTGTAGAAGGGGACATCTTGGAGCTATGTGTCTGCCCAACATTCCTGCCTGAGACGAATGTCTATGATAGGATGATCATGCCAGATTAAAAACTTTTTATTGGTAGCTTCAAAATTTTTCATTTGAGATTATTATTTTTTTAAATATTTACTTATTATGTATACAATATTCTGTCTGTGTGTATGTGTGCAGGCCAGAAGAGGGCACCAGACCTCATTACAGATTGAACTCAGGACCTTTGGAAGGGCGGGCAATGCTCTTAACCACTGAGCCATCTCTCCAGCCCTATTATTTTGTTAACAAATTCTTCACATAAATAGAAACAAACGTGTTCATTTCTATTTATTTATTTTTATTTCATGTGCAATGTGTTTTGTCTGCATGTATGTCTGTGTGAAGGGGCTGGGATCCCCTGGAACTGGAGTTACAGACAGTTGTGGGTGCTGGGAATTGAACTGGGATCCTCTGGAAGAGCTGCCAGTGCTCTTAACCACTGAGTCATCTCTCCAGCCTCACAAATGTGTTAATTTCACCATGACAGCAATTAAAGGGGTACTTTTTACGTGTCTGGAACCAAATCAAAGAGCATCAAAACAATTAGAATTAACATCTAAAGTGGTGATGGGAGGTGACTGCCTATAACCTCAGCACTTGGGAGGTGGATTAGCAGAAGAAAGAGCAGCATCAGCTAAAAACAATGTTCACTGCCATCTGGGCTATGTAAGAGCCTATCTCAACAAGCAAAACAAACATGGAGGAATAGAAAGATCAGTGAGAGAAAGAGTTACCACAGTTGGGGGTAGGATGGCTGCTTCTCAGGGACTCACCTCTGGGAAAAGGCAGGGGTCGTTCTGCAAAAGCAGGATTCGAAGCTGCGCTTCATTGAGGCCAAAAAGCCCACGGTTTTTCATGACTTGGATGTTGATGGGTGTGTGGATATCATGGGACAGAGCGCAGGTAGACCTAGAGAGTTCAGAGCAGTTAGAAGCCCAGGCCAAGAAGAGGCAAGGGGCTGGTGGTCCAATTCTTTGCCCTCAGATGTCCCTCAATGTGGCTCTTGACATAAGTGAATTCAAAAGTCGCAACAACGGGTTTAACTTGGTTGTTGCCGTGTTGCATCCTAGCATGCTGGGGGTAGGTAGGGACAGCAAATTTTTGGAGGAGGTGACTAATAAACCTCAGTGAAGAGGACCTTTCATATCACACCCGACAAAGAGAAGCACAGGGCGGCCTGCGCCAAAGGCCTTTGTCCCCTCCCGCCCGCGGATAGCCCAGCAGCATCCGGAGGGCGCGCCCGCACCCACCGCCCCAGTGGGGACTGAGGACTCCACCCCTCACCAGCAGTCGCGGTGGGGGCACTTGCCCAGCATGTGACGGCGACACAAGTGAAGCTGGTCGCAGGCCTGGCACTCCCCGCGTTGATAGCGGGCGCAGAGGCGGGCGGAGGACACGGCCACCACCCTGCAGGCCGTGGCGCCGCCGCCCGAGCCCGAGCCCGCGCCCACCGCCACCTCGGCCTCCGGGTCCCACGGGCCGTCGCGCAGCTCCACCTCCTGCAGCAGGAAGCGCTCGGGGCCCGCGCGCCGCAGCACCGCCCGCAGCTTCGCCTCCGACAGCTCCACGTGGCCGCGTAGGTCCTGCAGGAACATGCGGCCGCCGTGAGCACACAGAACCTTGGTGAGGAACGCGCACACTGTGAGGTCCGCCATGGTCCGCGGAGATCGCGCCGCGCGTTCCCGCCAGCCCGGGGCCTGCAGGCTCCTCCCCGCCACGACCGCCACTGGAGCTTGTGAGCTGTCGGGGGGGGGGGGGGGGNGGGGGCTTGGGGGCTGGGGGGGGGGGGGGGGGGGGCCGGGCCTTAGGATGCTGGGCCTCAGACGCCCCAGCCTTCCAGGCTCCTGGGTCTGATGCAGGTACCCGGGAGGGCTGCAAAGACTACAAACCGGGAAAGTGGTGGACCCAGCCTGGTGGCACAGGCCTGTAATGCCAGCGCCTGGGAGGTGGAGGTTGGAAGAACCAGAGGTCAAGACCAGCGTCGGGTACATAGGAGTTGGAGGCTAGCCCCGGCTACATGACACCCTGACTCAAAAAAACCTAGCAAGGAGGCAGCAGTGACGACTCAGGGGGTAAAAGGCCCCTATCTGCGTTTTGTCTCTGGAACCTATGGCGGAAAGAGAGAATCAAGTCCGGAAAGCTACTCTCTGGCCTCCTCATGTACGGATCTGCACTAACACACACACGTTATACATAGATGCTGACACTGCGCACAAGCATAATAGATAAAGTTTAAATATTTTCTGAAAGCTGGTAAAGCGGTAAGGAGATGCCTGGTGTCGGTGGAGAACCTCTCCGAAGAGGTAACCACTAGCCATCTGTGGCTGCCTGTTGCTTTTGAAATGTGGTCGGTCCCAACTGAGACGTGAAACACACACTAGATTTAAAATGGGAGAGAAAGAATCTCAGCTTGGGGCTAGGGCTATAGCTCTGTAGGCAGTTTAACATTAAGGAAGTACTGGGTTCCATTCCGGAGCTGGATCTGGTGGTCTTGCCTGTGATCTTAGCAGTGGGTAGGTTGACCCTGGAAGATCAGGAGTTTGAGGTCATCCTCCACAATATATCTAGTTTGAGGACACCTTGTTCTACATGAGACCCTATCTCAAAAACAATCTCAATTTTATATGACTCAAAAGCGTGGCTGGAGAGTTGACTCAGCAGTAAGTACTTGTTGCTCTTACAGAGGACAGGGGTTAGTGTCCCAGGGGACACAATACCCTTTTCAGACTTCCAAGGGCACCAGGCACACACACACACCATGCATATACAGACAAAATACTCATACCCATAAAACAATGAATCTTATTTTAAAGTGATTACTGTAGAATCAGCGATGGACACAGATGGTGCCCCAACCCCAAAGATTTCTGGGTCTGCAGAGGTCACAATCAACCAGGAGCCTCGCTGGTGCCTCTAGCACCACACAATCAGGTACCATCTTAACAAGTATCGACCAAGGTCTCTAGGCCTGACCATGGGAAAGATCTGTGCCATCCCTTGTGGCTGGGATGGGCAGTATTCAACCAAGCACCACCTATGACCCAACCGTGAGTCCTGATGTTGGACAGTTGGGCACCATTGTGGTGAGAAAGTACAAGGCAGGGAGGTGGAAGAGAGGGAGACGTGGAACGGTTCATGGGCTGGGAAGAGAGGCAGATCTGGAGAGGTGAGGGTGGTGAGAAACAGGCAAATGTGAATGGCCAGCTGGCCACCCAAGACCAGGGAGATGCCCGGGCCTGGGCTATGACCAAGGGCTCAGTATTGATCTGAGGCCCTCAAGCAGACAAGAGGCCTGTATTTATGTCTACGGCTCCAGTGTCACTGGGAGTTGTACAGAGACCTGTGGTGGGGCCACATCAGTGTCCAAGGGCCATGCTGCCTTGGGGACTGTACCAATCTGGGTGGCCTGCCTGGCCACTGGGAGCCAGAGTGACAACCTGGGTCTGTGGTTCTGCCGCAGCCAGGGTCTGTGTTGATGTCCCTGGCCCATGTTGTTGCCAGGGCCCGCATGGAGGCCCAGGGTCTGGGTCGCAACATGTGACCTTGTTGGTGTTCAAGGGCTGCACTGTTACCAGCGCCAGGCCGATCTAGTTGGCCAGTACTGTCAACTGGGGTCATGGTATTGTCCAGACCAGGGCTGCAGAGGAGGGCCATGTCTGGGTCTATGAGCCTGCCTCATCCAGGGTCTGTGTTGATATCTGTGGCTCCTGAGACTATTGAAGACTGTGCTGATGTCAGGGATCAAGGTTGCCACCTGGGGCCATGTTGGTATCTGAGGGTCATGCTGGTTTGGGGGCCATGCCAGTCCAGATGGCCTGCACTGCCACCTGGGACCATGGTGATATCCAGGCCCAGGCTGCTGCCCTAGGACCATGACTAGGTCTGTGTCCTACCACAGCCAGGGTCTGTATTGACATCCATGGCCCACATTGCCTGGGGTCTCTGGGTCACAGCCAGTGACTATGAGGGGTTCCAAGGGCCATGCTGCCACCAGGGACATCCTGATCTGAGTGACCTGCACACTCACTTGGAGGCATGGTGTCATCCAGCCCAGGACTGCTGCAGAGGGCCGTGTATGGGTCTGTGGCCTTACAGTAGCCAAGGTCTGAGTTGACATCCAGGGTTTCTGTTGTCACCAAGAGCCATGTGGAGGCCCAGGGTCTGTCAGTGTCTCAGAACTCTGCCACCCCCGGGGCCATGCTGACCTGGATGGCGGGTGCTGCCACATGGGGCACACAGAGACTCCCGGGTACAGGCTGCTGTCTAGGGCCGTGTCTGGGTCCGTGGCCCTATGGGGGCCGGGGCTGGGGTGGTGTCCATGGCTCCAGTTGCCCCCAAGGGCTCTGCATATGTCCGGGGTCAGGCCAGCCACCTGGGATCATATTGATGCCCCAGGGGCCATGCTACTGTCTGCGCCATGCTGATCTTAGGGATCATGGTGGCCTCTGGGCCTGAGCTTCTGTCGAGGGCCATGTCTGGGTCCGTGGTCCTGCTGCAGCTGGGGTCTGTGGTGATGTCTATGGCCCATATTAGCACAGGGGGGCCATTGGAACGTGGGGTGGTTGGTCCTGCCCTTCCCTGGATACCACAGTAGGAGAGGTGGCCCTACCCCTAAGGGGAGAGCTCACCCCCCACACACACACATACTCAGGAAAGATGACCCCACCCCTCACCAGTGTACCTCACCTGGGAAGTACACTGGAGCTGACCCTGTGGTGGGGATGCAGGCGAGCCATCCCTGAGGGCATAAGAGCAGGAGAGTTGACCCTGCCTGCCCTCATCTGCCATGTGGTGGCATGGATGAGGGGAAAGTGCCCTCCCCCGCCTTACCCATTACCACCTGTGGCAGGTGAGAGAGCTGGCTTTGGGGTCACAAGAGTAGAAGAGCTAGCCCCGACCCTCATTGGCTGCAGCCTGAGAAAGCAGCCTCTGCTACCTGTCTGGGCAGCATAGTAGAGCTGACCCTATTGTTGGGGTGCAGGTGAGCCAGCTCTGAGGGCATGAAAGCAGGAGCATTGACTCCACACTGCCTCCCTTGAATGCCCCCTACAACATCAGGAGAGAGGGCCCTACACCTTGCCAGGGCAAAACAGTAGAGCTGGCCTTGGAGATATGAGTGAGGGGGGCCCAAATCTGAGGGCGGAGAGCAGAACTGGCCCTGCTCCTTGCTCTAGGCTGCATTGGGTGAGCTAGCCTAGGTAGTGCTGGAGAGCTCATCTGGTGGTAAGGATGATTGCAAGCCAGCGAGCTGACCAACCCAGGCCCGGAACCAGGGCTGAGCTGGCCCATCCACCAAATCTATGAACTGTTGGAGCATGTGAAGGGGACGAACTTACAGACCCAAAACAGCAGGATCTCCATGACACGGGTCAACAACAGGATATCCAAGAGGAGCCCCAGTGAGCCCCTTACTGGTGGTGTAGCAGTAGCCAGAGACCTTGAACCAGACCAATGGCTCATAGCAATGAACACTTACAAGTAAAGATGAACGGACTAAAGGGTGCACTGTGATCACTGGGCCACACTACAGCTTCCACAAGATTCTTCCTTTTCTTTGCTGTTGCTTTTGTTTTGGTTTTGGTTCTTTGTTTTGTTTGGTTTTTCTTTTAAATTTGGTTTTGTTTTGGGGGAGGTTGCAAGAGCAGAAGGCGGATGTGAGGGGACAGGGAGATGAGTGGGGTCGGAATACGTGATGTGAAGTCCACAAAGAATCCATAAAAGTAAAATTAAATAAATAAAATACATGATTTGAAAACAGTGAAGACTGCTTGTGATATATTTCAGTAACAAAGTCTTGGGACGATTCTGTTTAATTTTCTTCTTCTTAAAGATTTTTAAAATGTGTGTTTGTCCCATGTGCCCCATGGAAGACAGAAGAGGGTGACAGATTCCCTGGAGTTAAGAGTAGTGAGCTACCTGACGTGAATGCTCAGAACCAAACCCTGTCCTCTGGGACAACAGCTCCTTAACAGCTGAGCCGCCTCCTCAGCCTCCTCATTGCCTCTCCTAATCTACCTAAGAGAAAATTCCATATTTGACTCGCTTTATACTTCTGTTGGGTGGCACCAATCCAAACCTGTACATGCGTTATACATCTATCCATTTTGCTCAATGCGCCACTCATCTATGGGACGTTTATTGATCGCCTGCTAACGAGGTGACAGGATACAAAGATGAAAACGGCAGATGAGGGACTCAGTCAGCCGAGCCGCTAACCTTCCCAGGCGCTTCTCAGCCTGAAAGAATTGATTCCATGTAAATGCAAAGAAGCCACTAAACAGTTTTCAGATTCCCTCGGCCCGAGTGTCTCTGTGTCAAGCAGTTCCAGGTTATCCCTCATTGTGATAACCAGTATAAAGTAGGCTCCCTGTCTCTGCATGGAGCCATACAGCTGACATTTTTTTCTCTCTTTTCTGTGCTTGTTGGTAGAGTTCAAGTTGACGCAAACAGAGATCTTCTCTGTGTTCTTGGTCTCAATCCTCAGCTCCTAAAAGTGTCTACTGAGAGAAACATGGATGGGTAAGGATCGGTATTAAAGAAATGGGTGGAGAAAGATAAAAAACCAGAAAGCAGCAGTGGCCCCTGTCTTTGATACTAGCAACTGTATTGAACTCTCTACCTAAGGTCTTCTGCGGCAGAGGGAGTGAGCTTGCCGGCCCTGCTAGAGAAAGGCTGGAATACCCAATGCGCTGACGCCTACAGCTCTCACCCAGAGGACTGATCAGAGGGATTATTGTAAAGACATGCAAA